CACAACGCCCGGCTATTTTTTGGTTGCAGCCGTCATTGTTGTTTGGCGGGTCCGGGCTGGGGATTCGAACCCGCTACCTTAGGTGTACGTGGCTGGAGCCTTAGCCGGTTGAGCTATAGGCGCCGAGCCAGAAAGCATAACTCTTAAAGTTGGTAAAACTTCTAGAGGTAACACCAAGAAAATCAACACCCATGTGTGCAGGTGGAAGCAACAGATTTTTACCAAGAAGACATAGTCCTTGGTAAGGCAAATACAGCCCCAACACCTTAGTCATCACTTATCATTTAAATGTCTTTACATTTTCATTTTCATATAGATCTGAGTCCTGTGCCTTGTTAGATAGTATTTATGCCTATGTCATTCAAACAGTTATATTTTTTTAAAAAAAGAAATTGATCAAAGAGTTTCCATAAGCAAGGAATGCATTTGGGTGGCTGGAACTCTCAGCTTATTATTAACAGGAGTCAACATAGTGTGTGTTTCCTCCTAAATTCTCTCATAATCTCATATACAAGCTGAGCAGAAACCAAGACCCTAAGTACCCTCCAGCCCATAGACTTACCTGGTATACAAGTGAGAGCCAGTGGAATGGGCAGTGGGCTGTGGGCCCACAGTGGGTGATGGAACCTAAATTTTCTTGAGTCCCTAATTGCACAGTGAAGAAGGAGATACCCTCTGGGTCTGATGACCTCATTCATCACTAGAGGTAGTTGCCCCTCCTCCTGTGCTGGCAGTTGTCTTGTGTTTATTTCCTTCTTCAGGCAGTTTCTGTTAGGTCTTGGCTTCAGACACTTGCAAAGGAAGGGGATGGGGTTTCTTGTTTCACCTACTGACTTTTGCAGGTTATAGTTTTGAGGGATCTCTAGGGTGATGTTTGCTCTTTTCTCTCTTTTTTAACCTAAGGACACAATTACATTTCTGTTTGACAAATCATAGGGCATAGAAGTCATCCAATTCCTCTGTCTGCAGGTAGGATGGCCTGTGTTTGGCCCAATGCTGAGAGGGAGGTGTCAATCACACATTTAAAAATAAGGGCCCCATTTAGCCATGTGACAAAAGTGGAGCTACCAGTTGATTTGGTTGTTTCAATGCTCTGCTGTCCTTGCCCAGAGGCAGAGTTAGAAAAAAAAAAAAAAAAAGAAGAAGAAGAAGAGAAAGCCAAACCTCTTGTCGGGTATGCAGGACTTGGTTACCTACATGTGCTATTTTAAAAAACATGATCGATGGGCAAGTAGGCGCCAGCCCCATATACCGAGGGTGGTGGGTTCAAACCCGGCCTCGGCCAAACTGCAAGAAAAAATAGCTGGATGTTGTGGCAGGTGCCTGTAGTCCCAGCTACTTGGGAGGCTGAGGCAAGAGAATCACCTAAGCCCAAGAACTGGAGGTGCTGTGAGCTGTGTGATGCCATGGCATTCTACTGAGGGTGACAGGGTGAGACTCTGTCTCTTAAAACAAACAAACAAAAAAAATGATTGAAATCTGCTTTTAAAACTCATTTTTATAATTCAAGGAGCTTAGAAATGAACATTCATATTACTATGCTCTCTCTGTACAGGGTAAAGGGAGACATGGATACCATCATGCTGAGGACAATGCGACTCTGAGATGCTCACCTAGCAAACATTACCTCTTAAATCTGGGTCCTTTTCAGATTAACAGGAGATTTATATTCAGTTGTTTTCTGAGATTTATTTCTCTTAAAAGGAGAATAGGGTATGTCTTAAAACATCTTTGTCTCATTTTCAAAGGATGGAAGAAATAGACAACAGATTGGTAAAAACAAGTGTAAAAGACGAAAACCAAGTTAATGAAGGGGTGGGAGGGGGGTGATTATATGAGAAAACTAAGCAAGCATTTGCTATTGAGCAGACACCTTGTTCTGAATTTCCTGGTAATCATAGAGAATATAACTGAATGTTGGGGAGTACATATACACTGATAGTTGACACATATAAACAGTATCTTAGCATCCCAACTCCCCAGAGGAAGAAGACTTTAAGAATTGGGATTAGCATGTGAAAGTCACCTAAGTTTTGATTAGTTAATATCCCCTGAACACCAACCGTTTTTTTTTTAATTTTAAGATTGATATGAGGGTACACATGTTTAGGTTACATTGTCTTCATGTCTGAGATAAAGTTCAAGGTGTAGTTGAGCCCTTCACCCAAGGGGTGTGCTGAACACACTCACATTGTGTACATCAGGTGAGATCCTGCCAGTTCCCCTTCCTCCTCCCACCTTAGCTCTCCAGCTTCTCCTCTCCTCCTTTCTATATATATTGGTTTCATGTTAGTACTGAGTACATTGGATACTTTTTTTCCATTCTTGTGATTCTCTTCAAAGAAGAATGTGTTTCAACTCCATCTAGGTAAACACAAAAGATAAAATCTCCATCTTTTCTTACTGCTGAATAGTATTCCATGGTATCTATATACCACAGTTTGTTAATCCATTCATATGTCTATAGGCACTTGGATTGATTCCACGTCTTGGCAATTGTGAATTGAGCTGCAATAAACATCGTGGTGCAAATGTCCCTGTGGTAAAATGATCTTTTTTTCCTTTTGCATAGATACCTAGTAATGGGATTGCAGGATCAAATAGAAGGTCCACTTTCAGTTATTTGAGAATTCTCCATACTTCTTTCCATAGAGGTTGTGTTGTTTTGCACTCCCACCAGCAGCCTTGAGAACCATCTATTTCTCAAACATTGTGCTGGGGACTAGAGTGTTTAGAGTTCCAGACTTGGAGCTTATGGGCCAGTCCCATGAGAAGGAATCGAAGGAATTGAGTATGTTCAAGGATGGACTGAAAGAAAGACTTACAGAAGACATAATAACTGTCTTCAAATATTTGAAGCATTTTCATGGGTGTGGAAGAGAAAGAAATTAATGTTCACTGAACATTGATGATGTGCCAGGAAGTTTGCATGGGCTATCTTACTCCTAACCCTTTTAGGTAGTTATTGTTTTCTTTTAGCAAGTAAGGAAGCTAAGGCTTTTAGAATTAAGCAACTTGCCTACAGACATGTATGTAGTAAATAGCAGAGCAAGGATTCAGAATTGAAACGTCCCAAGTATGTATGGCTCTGAGCCCATAGTATTTCCATTACCCTGAGTTCCTTATTCTGTGTAATACCAGGGAATATGACTGGAATTAATGGACAAAACTTTCTAAAAAGCAGACTCCAGTCTTATTAAGAACATTCTAACAAGTAGAGTTGTTTGACAATGATACAGGCTGCTCCTAAAGTAAGGAGAACCCTGTCACTAGTAATGTTCAAATAGCAGCTGAATCATTTATCAGTCTGGTAGGTGACAGGAGGAGGCCTGCCTTGGGAAGATGTGAGGCAGGAGTGGCCCATGGGGAAGGGCACAGAACTCTTCCAGCTTTAAATTTATGTGTCTTTATAGTTTCTGTGGGAAAGAAATCCTCAGAGCCCTGACAAGAGTGCAGCCATTTTGGGAAATAGCTGGCAAGAGAAAGCAGGCCAGAAACCAAACTAAGAACATAGCAACCCTCTCCCAACTCTTTGGGATGCTTCAAGGCCATTGTTGCTGTGAAAGGACAGAATAGTAAGTTTTACTTCAGCCCTAATTAAGGGAGTAACTCTTAGATTTGTCCTTAGTGCAAAAATCAGCTCCTATCCAGAAGAAGATGACCCCTCTAACAACCTCTTCCCACATTCAACCCTATGGATAAGGGGCAATAAAAAGCCTCTAGAAACTGCGTGATTGCAGCTGGCTCCTGGTCAGACTCCACTCTGCTCTTTTCCTCTCCTTCATCTGCCTTTCCAATCCTTGGACTGGCCTTTTCTCCTTATACCCCCAACCCCTGGTGGTCCCCTCAGTTATTTAGAAAGTCAAAGTAGGGTCCTGCCTTAGTGAGGCCGGGGCAGCTTCCTGACCCATCACAGGCGCTTCTGCTTCTTCAGGGCTCACTCAAGAGCATCTAATTAGTGCTAATACGCTGAGTGGGTGGTGACGCAGAGGATGGGAGGGGGAGGGAGGAAACCGCTCTCTGTGTATCTATAAAAAGTATTTACTGCTGTACAATAAGCTCCAAACAACTCTGCCATTATCGAAGAGAAAACCCCGACTGCCCTTTCTTCCCCTTCCAAACAGACCCCTCTAATGGTTCCTCTGTGCTGTTCTCTCCCTCCAATTGTGTATGGGGATGGCACAGAAAGGAGGAGGCAGGGAGAGTGCCTCCCTAATCTAAATTGATTAATGTAGAGCTATTTTTGAGAGTCTATTACTTTGTGAAGGTTACAACCAAAGTTTTTGTTGCAGTTTGGCGAGACCAGGTTTGAACCTGCCACCCTCGGT